AATAACACTTGGTGATGTATTACTACTTATAGGCTTAGGGTTTTTTTACATTATTTTAAATTATTGTTCATAGGAATGTAAAAGGCAAATAAAATCTAACAATAACTGTTGAAATCAAACAATTACTGCAGACTGGCCCTTAAAGGAAAACTGCATTGTAATGTAAAATCATTTGCGGTCATTATATTTAATTAATCTGGAAAAGAAAATTAAACCAGACATTAAGTTCCATACACGTAATATCCTCAAATTTTCCTGAGAGCAAAAGTAGTTGAGTGTATTGTCTGTATGTTAGGCTCATGGTTGATCCAATAAATACTTCAAGAAATTTAATATTAAAAAAAAAAATTAAAAATGATTAAGGGAGAAAAATAAAAGTTACAGTCTAAACACAGATTCTGTTAAATGTACCAATGCACTTAGCTTCAACTCTCAGCTTTATTGCATATATTTGATAAAGTTAAGCAAACATACCAGTCCTTGAGAGATCTGGGTCTAATTATATGAGATACTTTGGGTAAGGGCTACTCTAAAGTACAATAGGCTAGCTATGTAAAGTTTCCAAAATTTGCATCTGTCTAAATGTTGTGAATACTCAGATACAGTGAAACAGAGTCAGGGATTTTCAAAATGCTCTGGAGCTCATTTTTAGGATGGATTATGTAGTAAATATTTCACTAAGCCTCTGAGGTAATACAGCAGCAATCACCTGTAGTGTTCCTCCATATATTCAAAGTGAAACATCCTTCTAGCACAATGCCTGGCTTGTAATGTTAAAATGCCCGTACTCCCTCATAGAGAAGGTAAAAAGCACACAGTACTAACTCCTTTCAACAGAAAGCAAGAATCTTTATTTTTAACCAGTATTTAAACTTTGCACATTCAAATGTATTGCACTGGAGAAGGGTGGGATGCAGAGAAGGGAACAGGGCTATCACTTTCTTACAGAAAAGAAAAGGAATCAAATTACTTTCTGTATGAACTCCAGATGGTCTTTCCTTATCTAAGAAACTGTAATAAAAGCAGAAAGTCACCAAGCAGTTTTGTTGAATCGAAGGCCATTCATTTTAAAAGAGATTGAATTCTGTTTCTAGTGCTATTGAGATCACTTCTTTCTTCTAAGAGTTGCTCAGACTAATGCAGTGAAAATCAATGCAAATGAGAACTATTAAGCATAGATAAAATATTAGCAGTTCTCGTGGCAAGAAGTCTTTTGGAGCCTAACATAGTAAACAGCCCACTTCTTGTCACAGACACTTATTCATTTCATGAACAAGTGAGTTCTGAGTGAATATAGGATCAACACACTGACTTCAGCCCCAGTAAGCACTTATCACTGCTAGTCCAAGAACTGACTAGCAGATTTTAAACTGGCAGATTTTAAAGGAGCCACTGTTGAAGAACCACATGGAAATAACCTGAAAGTTCCCTATATTTGCTCTTGAAATTTGTTTCCAAGATTGCTATCTTGCTATCAGGCAGTTTACTTCCTTACATTCCCTTCTAAGCTGTGTTCATTATTCCCTAACAGTTAACAAACCAAGATCAAACATAAAAGCTTCCATTTAAAGGATATGTCTATAAGAGAAAAAACAACAAGGGATGATAAATAATACAGTAGACAAATTCGCAGATGGCCTTAGGCCAATCCCAATGACATCATATAAACCTAATTAAATTCTAGGATGGTCTTTACATAGGTAAGAGAGATATTAAGAGAGACACAGCAAGAATAGGAGTCCCCTGACACTGTAACCTCAATTGCAGTATGAATGACAGAGAAAAAATATTTCTTAAAGCCTATGTATTTTCAGAAGGATCACAGTTTATAATCAGAAAGCCAGATGTATGCCCCCTGCAATCAACCTCTGTTTTAAAATGTTATTGAATAATAAATCAGAAACTAAAAGTTTTTCAGTCAGATTTAGCTCCTGACTACGTGTTGGAATCAGAAAAGAGATGCATGTATAACTTTATACAGAGCTGTCAGCAGCAGTAAGCAAACAAATTCCTGATACCTGCCACATTTTACACTGGCAATAGCACTCGGTGAGTGCCACTTCTCCCTCTGAAGAGCCTACCATACATGATGTTTGTGAGTTACAAGGTAATTGAACCAGAAACAAACTAGGAAATTCAGAGTCCCCTTTATTTTGTGATCACAAAATTCAACAGAAAATCTATTCTATTTCTACAGTAAACTTAAATGAGATAAAATTTTCATCATTTTAGTTTTACTACACATAATTTTATGAAGTTTTCACATTGCAAAATCATTAAGGAATTTGGATATTCTCCAAAGCCTAGGGTTTGAAGAAAAACTCATTCTCAGATGAAGTGCAGTCATCAAGCTGTTCTCATGACATCTTTGGCTATCTAATATGATATTTGCCATCAGAACTTTTTTCTAAATTTGTATGTGGGCAGCAGAGTACAAGAAGGTGGTGAGTGATTAGACACCAAGATATCTGTGATACTTTTTTGGTTATTTTGCCCTCTCATAAACATGGAACCCAGTCTACAGTCTTAACAAGCTATTTTTATTCATTCATAGATATTTTCTCTTAGATTCTAAACCAGTTTAAAATTAGTTTTTAAGAAAGGCACAGCACCTTGGTTGAGATAACCTATGTATGTACAGAATGGAGAATAACTCACTTGAGAGAAGCCCTGCCAAGAAGGACTTGAGGATTCTGGTGGATGAGAAGCCAGATATGAGCTTGCAGTATACACTTGAGACTAAAAAAAGTAAATTATTTCCTGGGCTGCATCAAATGAGGGGTGGCTAGCAAGAAGGGAGGGAGGAGACTGTCCCCATCTGCTCTGCCCTCATGAGACCCCACCTGGAGTACTGCATCCAGACTGGGAGCCCTCAGCTCAAGAAGGATGTGGAGCTTTTGGAACAGGTCCAGAGGAGACCAGGAAGACGTTCAGAAGGCTGGAGCACATATCCTATGAAGAAAAGTTGAGGAAGATGAGCTTATTCAGCATGGAGAAGGCTGCAAGGAGACCTGACTGCAGCCTTCCAATACCTGAAGGGAGCTTGTAAATGGGAGGGGGATTTTTTACATATTCTGATAGTGACAGGACAAGGGGGAAGGGCCCTAAACTAAAAAAGGGAAGATTTAGGTTAGATGTTAGGAGGAAATTTTTCAGTCAAAGTGGTGAGGCACTGGCAAAGGATGCCCAGAGAAACTGTGGATGACCCATCCCTGGAGGTATTCAATACCAGACTGGATGGTTGGCAATCTGATCTTATGGGTGGCAGCACTGCCCACAAAAGGCAGTTGGGACTGAATGATCTTTAAGATCACTTCCAAATCAAGCCAGTCTATGATTCAATGATTCCAAACACAAGGGGCTTTGCTTAAAGATCTCTTAATAATACATTTTCCAAACTCTTTCCACAGGACACCTGAACATTGTGCCTTAATTTGCAGTCACAGGCGAAATCTGTCACAATATGTACTCAACAGTATGGGCAAAAACTGACAGTAAAGGAGGAAAGAATAAGGTCATCAGAATCTGCCATAGGCAAAAGGGGAGAGAGTCATTTCTTCATGAAAGCTAGAAAGTTAATGGAGTTAGTTACTAAAACTAAATGATTCCAGGAATTTTAACAAAGTCTCTTTAATACATACTCTGTTCTTTCCATGAATATACCATAAGAACTGTATGTGCAAGAATAATTTTCAAAAGGTAGTTAGGACACTGATGCACTTTGCTCTACACTGATCTCTTGCTTATGATTACTCAGTTAACTGAGTAATTATAAGCATGGCTCCCAAGAGTAGAACATACTACAAGGAGGTGGGGGAGAAAGGAAAACAAATATCTCTGTAAGCATTGTAAAAAAAAGAATATTTTTCCACAAAAAGAATCTCTGGACAAACAATATGTATTTTATCTGGAAGTAAAAGGGTAAAAGAGGACTTCATAGAAAATATTTTAATCTTTAAAGGACATTTCCTGCCTTAACATAACATCTAATTCAAGAAACACTAGATTTGGTGATTACTGTTTCTGATTGTGCCCTAAACAGTAAGAAGAATATTGTCATAAATCTGAAACATTTCTGTGAAAAACTTTACACCTCATAAATAAATTGCTAGAACTACTTACAAAACCAAATGCATGTTGCCTAATAAGTTTGCATGTGTAAAGTGAGACACAACTCAAAGAGATTCAGTGAATATTTTGCCCTATGAGTACTAATAATATCAAAAATGATTTATAGGTATTTCATGGTTGAAGAGTTTATAAATACATTTGTCTAGGTTGTTGCATTTCCTTCCACTCTGTTCCCTTAGGGATACTTGAGTAAGGTAAAAGAAATTGGAAGCTAACACCAGATAATGAAAGGTTATAGAATACAGTCTTCCCTTCATGCAAGCACAAAGCTATGTCATTCATCGTAAAAGATTTAAAGAGTTTTATAGTATTTTTTGTTCATTCATCAAAATTTCTGAAGGCAAAAATTAATTTTCTGATGAGAATGTTCACCCAAATTTCTTGTTTCCACAGAATAAAGAAAAGTGTTTCTCTAGTTCAGATTTTTTAAGATTAAATGATTACTTACATTTTTTTTTTCCAGAAAAGTTTGCTTTTAGAAGTGCCAATAAACAAATAAATATATTGAAACTACAGATTTGAATACTTCAGTTTCTCCTTTTAAGATTTGTTTTGCCCAGCTTGAACTCCTGAAACAGTTCTCCACTTCAGAAAATCACTTCCCAGTTATTCATCACTTTCTAAGTACTTTGTGTTGAGGACAAAAACGTTACCAATCATTGGAAAAAAACACAGTCAAGGAATTAATTATGGAAGACAATATCTCTAAAAAGTGTAAGCAGGGATCCTGAGAGAAAAATGTTCTAGATATAAGAAGATATGACTGTTATTTCAGGATAAGGAATCTTAATATAAAAATAATGCAAAGTTTTGGCATTCTAGCATTGACTCTGGATTTTATTTACATAATTTCACATTTTTAATTTCAGATGACCCAAGAATCTGCAAGACATGTGTTCCGAACTACTACATGTGAGTATAGCCTTCCATGCAAAAATATGTGCTTAACTACATATATCACATAAATCAGTACAAAAATGACATGTATCTTGTCCCACTCCTACCAAGTATTGCCTATCCAAGAACAGTAACTGTGAAAAAAGCTTGAGAAATGCTGAAAAACTAACCAATCATACACAGTCAAGACCATTTACAACTCTACAGCTCAGGTATTGATGTGATCTTTGTATAGACGAAGAGCAATGAACAGAAAGTGTAGACAAGTAAATTACTTTTTCTGGGTGTAGAACTAGTGTGCGCTTATTGTGTTATGTGTGTTACTAAAGCAGGAACTTAAAAATGTAAAAATGTTAAGCAAGGAAAGAGAAAGTAGTGAAACTGAAACTTTAACTGAAAGGAAACAAGTATGCAACAGTTTTTGAAAAAGATATACAGGAGATCTCTGCAACCATTACTACGACAAAAAAATGAAAAAGCTGTCTAAGCTACTATGAAAAAGCTATCTAATCTCACTGTAAGCAGTGGTTGTGAGAGAAAGAGGTGATAATCCCCCTCTAATCCACTCTTGTGAGGCCCCATCTGGAGTACTGCATCCAAGCCTGGGGCCCCCAGTATAGGAAGGACATGGAGCTCTTGGAGCAGGCCCAGAGGAGGGCAACTAAGATGATCAGAGGGTTGGAGCACCTCTCCTATGAGGAAAGGTTGAGAGAACTGTGCTTGTTTAGCTTGGAGAAGAGAAGGTTCCCAGGAGACATCATTTCCCTTCCCTACTTGAAGGGAAAATATAAACAAGAGATGGAATGGCTGTTTACCAGGCTGAACAGTGATAGGACAAGGAGGAATGGTTTTAAACTGAAACAGGGGAGGTTTAGGTTAGATATTAGAAGGAAGCTTTTCACTCAGAGGATGGTGACACACTGGAACAGGTTGCCCAAGGAGGCTGTGGATGCCCCATCCCTGGAGGCATTCAAGGCCAGGCTGGATGTGGCTCTGGGCAGCCTGGTCTGCTGGTTGGCGATCCTGCATATAGCAGGGATGTTGAAACTCAATGATCACTGTGGTCCTTTTCAACCCAGGACATTCCATGATTCTAAGATTCTATGATTCTTTATAGCCATGAAATGTGTAATTTCTAAGTATGCATGCATTTTTTTGTGTAAACATTTCTAAAAAATTGAATTATTTGTACTTAAAAATGCTAATTACTTGTTAAGGCTGAAGAGATAACAACAAACACATTCTGAATCCTTCATTAGAGGAATATTTTCTGTGTATGAGAATGATAATAGAGCCTTCCATTACTGTACATAGAAAATGAAGAAACTAAATAACCTCAAATTTTACTTTACGTTATAGGTATAAACAGAGTTGTTATAAACACTGTCCAGACAATACCTACAGTGATGAAACTTCCCTGCAATGTAAAGAGTGTCCTAGCAACTGTGATAGCTGTGACAAGAACAAATGTGACTTTTGTAAGGAAGGCTTTTATCTCTCAGGTAAGCAAAATAATATGTGGCATATACATGAAAGCATATCAGAGGTTTTCCTTGGTGAAAGAGCCTGTATTCAACTTTGTGAGTTCAAAGATCTCTCCTATGGCACAGAGTAGAGGCCAGGGATGTATATGTATATATACATAAAAGATACAACTCCAAATATTTGACAACAAATAGCCAATGCTGGGGGGTGGGGATTTTTTCCCTTTTTTTTAATATGTGTATATATATATGTATTACATATATATATATGATGCATATGTATATATACATACATATCAACTCAAATCTGTTTAATTCAGTCTGTGTGAAAGGAGAGGCTTTCCACTCACAGAAAGACATACACAGAAACATTTCCTTACTGTGGACTTTAAGGTCCACTTAAAGTAATGATTCTTAAACACTGTCAAAAGACTTCTGTTCAATTACAAAGTTTCACATCAGATTCACACAAGACTCTGAATCTGATGACTTTATTAGGAAAATATGAATCAGTCAGGTCTAGTTCAGACATAGTGCCAAATATGAAAGTCAGGAAATATTGAGGTTATGATGTTTTCATGCGTTGTCTTCTGTGCATGCCCAAAAGTGAGCTAAAAAATGCACCACATTTACAGAACACTGTGGTCACAACATGAAGTAGCATAGTGGCCTATTTTTCTTTTAACTGAAAAATTATCCTTGCAACAACTTCAAAGGATTTGCAAAAGCATTCAAACACCTGAGCTGAATCAGACTCATCTGAGTTAAGCTTTGAATTCACTAGAAACTGGAGATTCATCTAATCCTCAAAATATGTATACATCAAACAATTTTAGGGAATTCTACATTTAGATTTTATAGAGTCAATAGAGAAAAAAAAATTGTATTTAATCACAGAACTTAGATTCACACTAAGATTTGTGTTAGATGTGTATATACAGGATTTAAGATATGGATGAAAGCCCACCTGCATATTGATTTCAGTGCAGGTGATTCAAAGTTCCTCAAATTTTGTAGAAGCAGCTGAACTGAGTTGAGGATTCACCAAATTTAGTTTCTATATCTACCAAAATGTTCACTACTTCAATATATATTGCTTGTTTGTCTTAATCTGTTTATTGTTGGAGGCAGATATGTGCTCTAGATGAGGTATCTTCTTGTCCTGATTGGCTGGGGTCAGTTGACAACCCAATGCTGGGCTCTGTTTCTGCTGCAGGTGGCACATGCGTGACTGAGTGTGGAGCTGGCTTCTTCATTGATGACATGTCTAGAGAATGTGAACCTTGTCACAAGAGCTGCACAACATGTGTTGGATACAGCTATGAGAATTGCACTGCATGCCCAAAAGATTTCCAGCTTTCTCATGGACAGTGTCTGAATCCAAGAAATTATCCACCCAGTGGGAAATTCTGGAGTGGTAAGTTGCAACAGACCCCTTTATCTTTTCTTTGAAGATACTAAAAGCTTTAAAAAGAGAACATCAGCATCGTGCAATCTGAGTAAAACTACAGTTCAACACACTATCATTTAAAAAAATATACTGACTAAAAACATTGCTTTCATCACAAACAGAAATCCATCTCCTTGCAAATAGCATGACATTTTAATATGCCTTATCTGAAATACTGAGTGTTATTTTATCTAAATATATGAAGGTTTAAATTTTTATTTTTTCTCCCCTCCCATTAAAAAAAATAAAAAAGAAAACGGTTGATGATCAGGGAGTCCCTGGGAGCCCTTCAGGCTATATTTGAGGCCAGAACTTTGGCTATTGATTCCCTACAGATTGGTGAATATAAGTTGGAGGAAACAAAAAAGAACCAAATGTATATTTGTGGTTTACTTAACAGCAACATTTCTTCTTTCTCCTCCTCTCCCAATCAAGAGGAAATGCACTCCACATTACACATGCACTGTTGTCCAAAGGAGTGAACACAGAATGTAAAGCTGCACTGACTTGTGAGTACAATGAATCTAGACAGCAAGGCTTGCAATTGGTGCTTTTAAACAGTATGCACACCATGCCTTCCAACACAGAATAGGATTTCCTCTAGAGTTTCAATACCTGCATAGCTGGTCACTGTAAACAAAGAGAAGAGTGACTAATACAATCTTTTCACTTAGAGTTAGAGGCATCACCTGGAATAACAGACTCAGTTGGGGTGCAGTGTATAAAGAAGTGGGTCAGTTAGACAGGAAACAGTGAAGATGCTCAGAAATCGACAGAGAAGAAAATATTAACAGTTAAAGACTGGGACAAATTAGGGTCTTGGGTCTGAATGAGAAAGTCACAAGAGAAACACAATCACAAAGAATGGAGCACATCAGGTTTCTTTACATGCAGTCAAACAGAACTTAAAATGCAGAAAAAAATACGAGATTTGATATGGGAAAAAGACACTTTCAAATGGAATAATGGACTAATAGACTCTCTGAGAACCATTTGTAATTTGCATCAGTAGAAGTCTTTGATAATGCATAAAAGACATCTGACAGGAGTGGTTATTAAGGAGAGTGTGAGACTGGATTATTTATGGTCCCTTCAAGTTCTTTTTCTATCAAGCACAACTTTTTTCTGATTTCTATGTCTTTATTTTCTCAAATACTTCAAAGAATAACTCTCCTTGGATCTCTTGCATTAAAAATTAAAATATAGCAAAAATATTTTCAGAAAAAATATTGACCATTTCTAGTCATTACCTATTTAGGAAGAAATGCTGTATCAAAAAGAAAGATTCTGGACATTAGAAAAACATCAGAGAGACCTATAAAGGACAGATAATAGCAGAAAGTTGGTCTCCATGCATTTCATTGTATTTCATCCAGATGAGTATTTTCCCTATTTTCCCACTCTGTGCTGGGCAAGAACATCTGTAGTTTGGTCTATCTATTAGTTACCTACTTCTACTGTCAAATGTTAGCCTTTTTCTTTTGAGCAGGCACCTGATGTAGGTCTCTATGCATCAGCCTTACTGTGCTGTGGAAACTGTTTTTCTCCACTTTGCCTCCTGTATCTCCTTCCTTGCTTAGAGACTTTTCTTCAAGACACATCTCTCCCTGAGCCGTATTGGCTTAAGCATTGGCAACTGTTCTAAAGCCAAACAATTCCCGCTCTGCAGTGTGACAGGGGACCATGAAACCTGACTGGAGGTTCTCCCCCTTCTCAAATAGACTTGCTGGTATGTGGCAGCAGCAGCGGTGTGTAGCTGCTGAGATAGTGACAATGAACTTGGTGATGCTGTGAGCCCCCCTGGATCATTTTTCCAAATAGTAGTACTTTTCAAGTAGAAATGTTAACGATATCGTCCCTATCTTTACTGAAGTTACACTCTGGATAATTACATTACCAACAGTCTATGAATTTTCTTGCTCAGATACTGTTGGATTATCTGGCTCTTGAAAAAAAATATTTTCATTTGCTGATTAGCAATAAAATATAAATAGTTGAATTTTTTTATATCAATCATTTATTTTGCTGATGCATTCAAGATACCAGTTGAATCTAGATTTCCAACTGTGTCATTTATATTTGAAACTCTTGCTCCACACTCCATGAATACTCCACACACCAATATTGTTGCTAGATAGAAATTGCAACACAATTCACACCCAAAGGAGGGTTCAAATCACCTGTATAATTTTAAAAAGAAAATAAAGCATAGAAAAACAAAACAAATACAAAAATAAAAACAGTTTCAGTATCTGTTACAATGACTTTTTTAATTGTCATAAGATTTCTGAAAACCAATAAAATATAGATGAAGCAGCCACTGTCTTTCACTGCAGTGTTCAACAATATTCCGTAGTCTATAAAGCATAAAAATGAGCAAAATTAAAATCTACCTGCTCTTCTCTAGACTGATAGGAGTAACAGGCCATCTACAGATCTTCTTAAACATTTCTGTAGGGCCTCTTCTTTTCCATTGTGTATTTGAAAGGAGATTATGGGAACTAAGGATTATTTTTTTCCCCACATGGTTGCCAGTTCATGGCAGCTTCCAAAGTTTTCCACTGCTTCCCCGGGATAGATCTCCAAACACTTTATCACAATTTACATTTTTGTTCTTCAGGATTTTTTTACAGATACTTTGATTGTCTCCAGGGTGATTTCATCTTGGTAAAATATTGGGTTCTTCCATCCCATCCATTGTCAAACTCACTTTCAAAGGGGAACTTGTCATGCAGTGTGGGTTCTTCAGAGGATGTTAAAGTAATTCCATGTTTGTTAACCAGTCCAGTGTGGGCAAATCTGACGCTGCGAGTTGGATTTTGGCTCTCTCTGCTTGTTTATCAAAATGTGCTTTTTCCACTGGATGCTCCTACTCCTCAATACATTTACTCCAGCACAGCACCATGGCAGAGCTACCTCTGAGCTTTAGTGACCCAATGAGCTGATCTAATTAAATAATGTAGGCCAGAAGATTATTAGTCCTTACACTGTAGGGGACTGACCTGGGTGTGGGGGGACAAGTATGAAATAAACAACCTCGCCCCTGTCATGGGAGCAAGAATGAAATTGCACCAAGCTCATCCTCAGCACATACGCTGCTCCAGACAACACAGGAAGACAACGCAACTAGGAAGACAGCCAAAATTTCCAAATCCAGTAGTTTACGTCAGTTTTTACCATGTTAGTCTTCTATTTACTCTTTTTCTTCAGAAATGTTACAAGAGAAAGTTGAGGTATTAAACCTTGAACTGTATTTACAAAGAATGAATCCATTTTCCTTTGGCTCATCCAGCCACATGGATTCAGTGGGCTTCACTGTGGTTTTAGTGACTGTGTTGACCTACCATATGGGACAAAATGAGGTTCTGGAAACAAAGACTACTGCTTTATTTGGCTCTTAGGTGAACATAAACTGAAGGGCAGCATGTCACAGCCTGCCACAGTGAAACCAACACAGAGTTTGTCAACTGAGAGACTGGTCCATCTAAGAAAGGATTAAAACCTTTGTGAATGTGAAATACTCTTTTCCCTCCACCACAACTTGTAAGCTTTCACTTATATATATTTTTTTAAGCAAGGATAAATAATGGGTCAATCTTATGAATATTTATGAGCATAAACTCCAAAACCCAAAACATTCTATAAAAAACAGTTTTCTAAAATTATATTTATTTTGAGGGCATATTCTGCTGGGCAAACAGTCCAGTTCATATTAAGAAGCTTTAAGAAGTCACATAAAGGTCTGAAATAGTGAAACAGACCTTGTCTGGTATCCTGGCTTTCAAAAAGACAGGGTCAGGCAAGAAGGGAGAAAAAAAAGCAAAAGAAATTGAGCTTGTGTTTGTAGTATAAAACATCTGTATTTTATCTCATGTACCAGATGATAAAATGACTTTGGAAATCAGGAGATACACCAGTGTAAACTTGATTCGCCAACTGAACACACACTGTTTCAACTAGATTAGAAGTTTTGTACATCAGGTCTTCATTTTACCTGTATACTGTAAATACAGCATCTTGAAAATTCATTCATTCATTTACCACATTTTTCTGAAAATTACAAAAGGAAAAAAAAAAGATGTGTAATGAGATCTGTTCTTGATGCAAACACAAAATGGAATATATATTTCTTTACGTGTAGATTATATATGCTGTAATAAATTATGCAGCAAAATAGCAGTTGGTTCTGTTTACTATTGCATGCCAGTCCCAATGAGAGCAATCTCCTACAAACAGTCAGTGACTAACTGCATCCATCTTGTGTACTTTCCTTTTCCTAATTACAGAATAAAACAAAACCAGTAAAAATGCATTGCACCAGAAGAGTTCTGATTGAGAGAAAACAATAACTTGGGCTTTAAAAGAATTATTATTTTTGTCTCACCTTAATGCAGCTATGAAGCTATGCAGATATACATACAGAGGTCTCAGAACAGAGAAGGAAAGAAAAAAAGTGGAATGAGATGAGCAGAAGACTGTAGGGAAATCAGCAGCAGGAAAGAAAAGATCACAGTTACCCAAATGAGAAAATGTTATGACATTTAGTGTATAGAATCAGAACATCATGGAAAGAGTTAGGAGGCCTTTTTAAGCATCATCCAGATGTGAAAATTTGAGGTGCTAGAGACACAAATAAAAATGATTCACTATCCCATACATTCTGAGGCATGTTGATTTCATATTCTAGCTATTTGTAAAGTACTGGTATGGTTGTTTAAAGATAACCAGACTCAGAATTAATGGTTGTTGCAGACTGTAATTTACTTTTCAGCACTCCTAAAATTCCCTTAGATTTACAGTTCATATAAGTCTTTGAAATGGGATAGGTCTAGTATGTTATTACAGAAATATATTGTTTTCATTATGTTTTATGTATGTATGCAATTGTAATTACCTCAAAGAGATATGTAACCTGTTTTTTGTCTTTTTTCCCTGATCGTATCAATTTTGCTAAGCCAGTTCCATGT